CCTGCTGGCTCCTGACCCCTACCGCAGGAAGACACGGGTGACTGGTGACCGCTGAGCCCCCCCCACCCCTGCTGCCCCCCCTGTTTGTCTGTTGGCAGAGGGGGATTGGGCCTGAGTTGTCTTTGGGAGCGGGGACGTGGCAAGCTGCTGGGGGGCCTCCCCTTGGCGACGGGGGCACCGGGCGAGTGCCTTGTCTGTGCTGCTGTTTTATTCCTCCGGGCCCTTTGGGCACCTGTAGGACACTTGCCGCGCACTCCTGATGGGCAGGAGGATGCTGGGGCAGCCCGGGAGCCGGCTCCGCTGTCCCCCATCCATGATGCTGCCAGCCCTTTCCCACGGGGTCGCACCGTCCTGTGCCCTCAGTTGACGTCCCACCTTGTGATTTAGCCAAGTAAACGTTTCAACCACTTGTCTCCAAATCTTGAAGCCGCGGAGGAGCAGCGAGCTCAGCTCTCAGACCAAGGGCAGCTCTGCCGTCGTTAGTACGGGGGGAGAGCAACCCCGGTGTGACGCCCAGGGGGAGTTTGCGGGGAGCTACTTCTGTCGGGGGCCTAGGGAAGACCATGCAGCTGTGCAAGATTTTTTTTTTTAATACCCCCTGCTGCTGCTGGTTGCTGCCCCACGACCCACGCCTTGAGTCATGAGCATCTCACCTCTTGTTCCTTTACCCTCTCCTTCACTTGTGAATCCTGATTTTTATGTGTTTTTCCCCCACTAGACCAGCGCAGGGCATCGCAAGGGACTTTTTGAGATGGGAACAAAGCCAAAACTGGAGGGGTGTGTGGGGGGGGTGGGGTTGATGGATGGAAGAAAAGACCGATCACTACAGTCTTGGGGAAGGGTTCCCCATCAGGATCTGGCTGTAAGGTCAGCGGGAGAAACGCTCAAATCAGCAAGGTCAGCAGGAGAGGCCCCAAGCAGTCATGGAGGCCCTGGCGGATGGCAGTGCTGAGCTTCCACCCTTGCTGCTTTCAGCAACCGTGGGAGCAGCGGACTTTTCAAAAGCCCCTAGGAAGGGAGAACAGCACCGAGCCACAGAGCCGTGACTTCTGGTCTAGGCACCCTGGTGGGAACTATGTGGGACCAGAATTAGCATGCACCAGCTAAATACCAGGAAGAGGCACTAGAGTTGGGTGTACAGGAAGGCTGTGACCAAGTTGTTGCTAAAACAACATGCGAAAACCACCTCCTGTTAAAAAATAAAAACCAAACCACCCACTCAGCTTTAAGCTGCTCTGGAAGAGCTTTAGCAACGTTTCACTTGTTTCTTCAAAAAGGGAGCTCCTCCATAAGCTATTAAGTAGTCAAGCAGCTGGGAACAAGAGACGCACAGCGAGCCAACAGCGTGGCCAACAACAGCTCTGGCTCCTTCACAGCAACCCTCTGCCAACACCAGCATGAGGCAGACGGGCAGGAGCACCTGTGAGGTCTTAGGGCAGCCCAGGTCACCCAGGAACATGCACCAACCCTGTGAGCAGAGGGCTGCGCTGCTGCTCACCGGGGCCGGGCAGGGAAAGGTGGGAGTCGTTAGGCAGCGCTTGTGGGTGGCAGCTCGTGAGCCACGATAAAGGCACCAGGGCCAAACTTTGTAGGAGTGACGGCTGCTGCAGCAGGGGCTACAGCCATGAGTTGAGTCCTGGGAGTTTCAGGATGAGCTTTAGGATAAAATCCTTCTGTCGGGTTGCCGGGGGGGGGGCGCTGCGCAGCCTCTGGATTTCC